ATCGGCTCGCTAATGGCCCCTCGAATTCCGTCTTCAATGTGCCACCGGCCAAATAAGGGAAAGTGCTCGTAAATCCATGATTGAAAGAGCGTCAGCCAGCCAGCCATCGAGTTCGTTGATTTTTGTGAGGCTGACGAAAGCTCATCGTACAACCGGCAAAGACATGCAGTGCCCCAAGCATACTCGCCGATCCGATCCAAATCAGAGACGAGATTTAGATACTCCACGCTTACCATGTTGCCTGTTTTGTCGCACAGTGTAGTACACCCGAGCAAAAATAACAAATACGCCCGAATGGCGTATGTCCTCTTCTCCGCACTGTCTCTCATGGTCACTTTGCTAAATTTAGCCTTCAACCATTCCAACTATACCGCTTTCTTCTTGTCTACATCGTCCGGGTACTCACCTAGCAACTCGAACATCAAACTACTGGGCTTCGTTTTGGAATCACGGATCAGACGCTCGCAAGACACGGTACGCCCAACAACTGGCAAACCGACCAACGTACTCACATCATCAAGTGTGATGGTCATCTCTCCAACAGGTAAATGAAATGTGTTGGTAGCTGGCTGCCATCTCTCTATGAAGGCTCTAAGTAGATGGCCGTCCACAGTGTTGTACGATGCTTGTACAACTGACATTAATCCAACTCTTTGTACTACCTCTGTAATAAACGGCGCCGACACCCAACCTTTCAAAGTTCCTGTGTGATTTCGAATTCAAAATTCTGAGCCGCGCTCCGAGCGCTCTGGACCTCCGTTCACAATATGATAAGCAATGTGCTTATCAAAATTTGTGTACAATTCCGGTATCTCGGGACCTCGGACCGGTTCGTTGCTCGAATCACCAACTTCTACAGTCGAAGGTAGAGCCGGCACCGGATTCGTTGAGGAAGAACCCTCTCCAGACTTCTTCTTGGTCGTGGTCTTTTTCTTGGTCGTGATTGCCTTGCCCTTGCCTCTATCGGATAATTCCTTCCTCTTCTTACGGTTCGAGACAGTCGGAGGTATACGAGGTTCGCGTGGTTCTTCCACTGCAAAATAACACACAAATAAAAATAAATATACATAATATAAACACAAGCAAATAAAAATAGGAAAGAAAACAAATTAATAAATTAAAAAAAAAAACAAATTAATACATAATTCGACAGTGTGCTGTCGAATTATCAAAAATTCAATTCAAATATTTCAAAGCATTCGACAGCATTCGACAACTATATGTCGATTTTTGATGAATTTTCGACATCAAGCTGTCGAAAATTTTGAAAAAATCGACATATACAGGTCGAAAATTGTTAACGAAGAACCGACCCACGAATCTCAAATCAATGCTCAAATCGACTGAAATCAGATGCACCCATTACTAATTAACGATCATTCTTACCGAAAACCAGTGTTCTAAATATCGGTCGTGGTGGCCGATATATCGGCCGCCATATCGGTGGCGGACATAAACCTTTACGATATATGTGTGGCGGTTTTGAAAATCGGTTTTTTGACGGTGAGGCGGTCTGTGGCGGGTCAAACCGATATATCGGGTCAAACTTCGAACGATATATCGGAAAAATATTTTTTTTTATTTTTTTTTATTAGAAGGAAAATAGGGTATTTATTTTTTATTTTTTTTATTTTTTTATTTTTTTTTAATTCTAATTCATTATCTCTTTCAATCAAACCCAAAATTACCGACCCCGTAAGAAGAACCTGACCTTGAAAAAAAAAAAACACAAAACAATCCACACACCGCGGCGGCATTCTCTATCTCACTATTATTAAACTTTTGTTATGTGATTAGAATATATAAACGATGAGGAGAGAATCATGTTCAATTTTTTTTATACGTTTTTATGTATTTACAATTAATATTTAGAAATATATTACACTAAATTTAAAAACCGATTTATTTCCGATATATCTCCGATTAATCACCGCCGCGCCGATTTATCGTGTGGCGGTCCCTAACCGCCCCGGACCCGATAACCGATATTTAGAACCTTGCCGAAAACAACCAAATCCTAATTACCCATATCAAACAATCAAATCCTAAATAAATATTAAAGAAAAAAAAATTGAAACAAATATTACTTGTATTCGAAGAGGGTTGGAGCGGCTTGATAACAATGGATTCAGCGGCGGCGGCGTTCGGCGGTGTTCGACGGTGTTCGGCGGCGGCGTCAGGCGGCGGCGAGGGTTGGAGCGGCGGCGGCGTTCGGCGGCGAGGGAGGGTTGGACGGTTGAATGAAATGTTTTTTTTTCTTTTTTTTTTTAATTTGGTTTTCAAATAGGTAATTTCAAAGAAAAATTGATATAATTGATATTTTGTATGAAATGGTGTTTTTGTACTTTTCTTTTTATTTTGGTATTAAAGTAAGAAAAAACTTATAAATATGTACTCAATTGTGATTTTCAACTTGGTAGTATTCAAATAAGCAAAAGTTGGGATTTGAAATAGTTGCCCCCTAGTAAGGGGCTATCTCAAATAACCCAAATTTTTAAATGTTTCAGAATATTGCTATAAATGACTTCGTAAACTGGTCAAAGAAAATACTACAAATTAACCCCCTACATCTTTTTAGCAAAGTTGTAGAACCTCAGGCGCTACTAAACCTCCCCTTGGCAATTACTCCAGTTGGAAATCGAATCCGTGATCTTGGCTCTGATACCACTTGTAAGACCTCAGGCGCTACCGATTATCCTAAAATTAATTGATGTCAGGGAAGGCGCAAACCCTAATCTTATAATGCATTCAACACACACAACACACCCACGATATTTAATTGTGAGTCGGTCATACCCAAACCTCCACCTCATAAACAATTGCTGTCAAACCCAAGCTAATAAAAGTACTTTCTAAAATTCAACATTTTAGAGATTATATACTAAAAAAATTATTATTATAGATTATTTTGTTGGTAATATTAGAATCGTTTAATATAGGGTACAGAATGCGACAAATTCATAACTTTTTTTCCTAATTACAAATAACCCCAAGCAGTGTGTTTAAGAATTTGTTACAGAATGAGTTTAGATTTTTAGAGGTTTGGGCCTTTGGGGGCAACACTTCCCAAAAATATTTTAGGATTTTTCTTGACAAAATTAGAAAATAGGAAAAAGGAAAAAAAAAGAGAGGATTTTTTAGCATTCTTTTCATTAATTTGGGTGGACTAAATTCTGCATCCGAATTTTTTTTAAAGACTTTTTGTTGAAAAACCAGAAAATTGGAGTAAAAGGAAATGAAAAATCTTTAGGACTTCTTTTTGCATTCATTTGAAATTTGATTGAACTGAATAATAAAAAAAATGGTATAAGCTAACTAATGTATTTTGACTGGATAAACCAATAAAATCGTGTCATACATACCAAAAAAAAAAAAGAAAAAAGAAAAAAAAACAAATGACAAGTATTTTATCGAATATCGGTTCACTTCGGTATTTGGTTTTTGGTTCCCGAAATATTCAATTTAGTAAGTTGGAATACCATAACTTTATTTTAATATTTTTTATTTATCATCTTACGCATATTACATATATAATACTAGTATATTTATAGAGTTAAATGCAAAAACCCCCCCTGTGATTTTCCTAAAGGCCAAAAAACCCCCTAGGAAAAAAAAAGTGACCAATACCCCCTTATAATGTGTTTAAGCAAGCACACTCAGCCCTTTTTGTTTTCATCCGTTGACCACTCACGAAAAGACGAAAAAGCCCTCCAGAAAAATATTTTCGACCTCCGGAATTTTATGACTGAAACAAACTTTTTGAAATTTTCAATTCAGTCCCCTGAATTTTCAATTAAGCCCTCTCTCCAATTGAAAAACACACAATAACACACAAATACACACACTGCTCTCTGCCCATGTATACACACCTCATCCCACCACTGCCGTCTCCGCCGCTATCTTTTATCATCATTCAAATCTCAAACCCACTCGAGATTCAACCCATCTCCGTCAAAATCTCCGCCCAATTAAAAAAAGGGGGATTTTTTCCAACCCCCAAGGTGGAGGGACGTTGATCCGACGAGTTTGCTCCCGAAGAAAACCGCCGGCACAAGGCCGCTGGAGCTCATCCTCGATTTCCTTATCCTCTGAATCGTGTTGAATTTTTATTTTCTCACCTGATTCAAGGATGAAATTCTGAGTTGTTGGAGGCGGAACTGAAGACGGTGAGGATGAATTGAAGTGGTGGCGGAATTGACGAAGGGGGTACGGACTTACGGTGGAATTGAAGGTGGCGGCAGATTAGTGAAATAATAAATCTGAAAGTGGCGCCGATGGACCATTTGCGGGTGAAGACGACGATTTTGAGAGGGTCAGCGGTGGGTTTTACTCTTCGTCGGAGAATTTGTCGAAGTGGAGGTCGCCGGACGACAACTTGGAGAAGAGATTTGAGCGGGAGGAGAAGGATGTTAAAGAGAATTGCTGCAAGCAGATGGCGGCGGAGGAGGAGTTGTGGCGGAGGAGGCTTGGGCAACTGGTGAAGTAGAACTTGATTTTCTAATGGCGGTGGAGGAAGCTTGGCAGGGAAGAAGAAGTTGATTTTTTAATTAATTTATTTATATAATACATATCTTTTCACAATTTATTTGTTTAAATTGAAAATTAAAAAATCATAGAGATTTAGAGGGGCGATTTTGTCTTTTCATACAAAAAATTGTACAAAAATCAAACAAGAGTCGCACAAATAGCGCGTGAACTACACAGACCATCGGGAGGGGGCGAAACGACTTTGACTTTTAAATACAGGGGGGTATAGGTCACTTTTTTTATCACGGGGGGTTTTCTGGTCTTTAGGATTAACACAGGGGGAGTTTTTGCATTTTACTCTATATTTATATTAAAATGTATTATTAGATACTAAAAAGAAATAAATTAGGTTAAAAAAAAATCTAAAAATAAAAATACTAATTGAAGCAAGTCATTTGTTTTAGCCGCCGGTAGTGACGGCTGGATCTTATCCCAAACGCCGCGCCACAGACGCAGCCACCGTTGAAAACCACCCAGGGACAATAAACTCTCTCTCACACACACACACACAGAGAGTCAACACACAATAGTTGGTCAACGCAAGAAAAAAAAGACATAAGTCACCATCACCAATTTCCTTTGGCTTAACAAGAAAAAGTAATTAACAACACCCAATCAAAATCAATCAAAAACCCCAACCAATAATGATTCCCCAAATCAACTCTTCTCACAACATCCAAATTCCAACACCACCACAAAAAACCCATTCCTCCTCAATTCACCCCCAAAATCCTCCCTCCACCGCCTCCGCCGCATGGCCGCCGCCGCCGTCTTCATCTTTTTCTGGGCAGCACTCTTCCCCATCCCCGCACTTTCCGGTCCGATTTCCGAGCACTCCATAACCCCCGAATTCACAGCTTCCTACTTCCACTTCATAGACAACTCCGGCGCGTTCTTGTCATCTCCGAACAATTCCTTCCAGGCCCGAATAGCCAACCCGAAGCCCGAATCCGGATCTTTCTACTTCGTCGTTGCCCACGTTTCCTCCAACGCGATCATCTGGTCGGCCAATCGCAACCGGCCCATCTCGCAATCTTCTCAACTCCGGTTCACGGCGGCCGGCCTCACCCTGTACAACGACACCGGCCATCCAATTTGGTCAACGCCTGAAAAACTGCCGTCGGTTTCTTCTATGCGTCTTCTCGAATCGGGGAATTTAGTCCTGCTTGACATCGCGAACGACACCGTCTGGGGAAGTTTTGATTCTCCGACCGATGTACTCGTCGCGGGGCAGAAATTACCCGCCGGAAAATCGCTGGTCTCGTCGGTAAACGACGACGATCTGTCGGAAGGCAGCTACAGGCTGGTCGTCGGAGGAAACGACGCCGTTCTGCAGTGGAATCTGATGAACTACTGGAAGCTGTCGATGGACAAAAGGGCTTTTCGGGACACGAATTCCAAGGTTGACTACATGGTCATGAATTTCACCGGGCTGTATTTGATCGGCGAAGCGGTCGTGATCAAGATCACCTTCCCCGATTCGTCGAATTCTTCGGATTTCAAGATCGTTAAACTGCATCGCGACGGTGCGCTAAGTGTAATGAGTTTCAATCCGAACGACGGGTCAAACAAGCCCGAGTTCACCGGACCGCCCGATCGCTGTGAAATTCCGTACATCTGCCAGCGCCTCGGCGTTTGTACCAACGGCGGCTATTGTCAGTGTGCGCCGGCGTTTCGCTCCGATCCCAAAACGAACGCCGGCGGAGATTGCTCGCCGACCGATGATTCCCTCTCGCTACCGGCTCGCTGTAATGATTCTTCATCATCATCATCATCAGAAGCCGTCAAGTATTTGAATTTGAGGAACGATTTGGATTACTTCTCCAATGATTTCACCGACCCAATTATCCACGATGCGACGCTCTCGACGTGTCAGAATCTCTGTTCGAAGAATTGCTCTTGTCTCGGTGTTTTCCACAGCCACAGCTTTGGTTCGTGTCACATGATTATGAACTATTTCGGTTCCGTTCTAATCAAATCGAGCTTGAACGATCGCTTGGGATACGTCAAAGCAATAGCGGTCGAGAATAATATTCCAAACGGTTATTTGGACAACAACAAGAGCTCCGATTTCCCTATATTCGCCTCCGTTTTATTGCCTTCGTCGGGGGTCGTAATAATCATCCTCGTCGCAACTTTCATATTGTTCCGAAGGAGGCAGAAAAGGCTGCAAAAATACGCGAATTCGAAGTTGGGCCGAGGCAATTCCTCGTCTTCCACCGATGGGGACATCGATTATTTCGTATTGATCCCCGGTTTGCCGGTGAGGTTTGATTACCAAGAACTAGTGGAAGCCACCGGATCTTTCGGGACACAAATCGGTTCGGGCGGATTCGGGACGGTTTTCAAAGGGACCCTCAAGGACGGAACCGACGTGGCGGTGAAGAAGATCACGTGCTTGGGGGCCCACGGTAAGAGGGAGTTCCTCACCGAGATTGCCGTGATTGGGAAGATCCACCACGTCAATCTCGTCAGGCTCAGAGGCTTCTGCGCTCACAGAGGGCAGAAGCTTCTGGTCTACGAGTACATGAGACGCGGGTCGCTGGACCGGACTCTGTTCCACGGCGACCCCGTCCTGGAGTGGGGCGAGCGGTACGAGATCGCGCTCGGTGCCGCAAAGGGGCTCGCGTACTTGCACACCGGGTGCGAGCACAAAGTCATCCACTGCGACGTCAAGCCGGAGAATATTCTCCTCCACGATAAGTCGCAGGTGAAGATCTCCGATTTTGGGCTCTCGAAGCTCCTAACCCCCGAGCAGTCAGGCCTTTTTACAACCATGAGAGGTACTAGGGGTTACCTAGCGCCCGAGTGGCTAACGAGCTCGTCTATTTCGGACAAGACGGATGTATACAGTTATGGAATGGTATTGCTCGAGATCATAAGAGGGAAGAAAAACTCATCACCTCAATCACGCAATAGTAATAATAATAATTCGGGAAGCGATAGCAACGGGGGCAACGGCCCCCTTTCTTTGCCGTCCACGGGAGAGTCGGGGCTCGTCTATTACCCGTTGTTTGCGTTGGAAATGCACGAGGAGAGGAGGTATCTGGAGCTAGTGGATCCGAGATTGATGGGTCGGGTCGAGCGCGATGAGGTGGAGAAACTCGTCCGGGTCGCACTCTGTTGTGTTCAAGAAGAGCCGAACTTGAGGCCTTCGATGACTAGCGTGGTGGGGATGCTGGAAGGGGCGGTGCCGCTAGGGGAGCCGAGGGTGGAGTCGTTGAATTTCTTGAGGTTTTACGGGCGGAGATTTACGGAGGAGTCGAGATTGGAGCAGGAGAACAGTGAGCAGAATGAGTTTATGATGATGTACAGACAACCAATGACTAACACTACAAGCTCTTGTGATTCTTACTCCTATATGTCATCACAGCAAGTCTCTGGTCCTAGATAGCTTTTTTTTTTTTTTTTTTTTTTTTTTTTTTTTAAATTTGTTTATAAATTCACAGATCACAGGATAGCATCTTTTAGGATATTAGTTATTGTTCTTTTTTTTTTTTTTTTTTTTTCCCTGGCTACAAGAAATGGAGGAGGGATATTATAGTAATTGTTTTTTGTGCAATTTGTAGAGTGATTGTAACTATATCAGAATTGTTAATTTTTTTATGTGCACAATGAGACAACTTTGAGCACAAATTGTTCGGCGCTGTGATAATATTCGACACATTATTATTTATTAAGATTCGAATTTTCGTTTTCTCTGTCAGTTTTTTTTTACGTCTAATTAAGTAGGCGTACGACGACGACCGTAATTGTGCACGTGGAAAATACATCTTCTTCCTCCTCCTCTCATAAAAGTCCGTCAGTAATTTATAATGAGATACGGCCCCCTTTCTTCGCCTTTTGGCAGGAGGAGAATCGAGGTTCGTTTATTTCCCGTTGTTTGATTTGTTGTGTACAGGAAGAGCCGAATTTAAGGCCTTCGATTGATTCAGGACTGGTTCTTGGAAGAAAATTGAATTCTCAGACAAGAGTGTTTCGATTGATTCTGGTTCTGGCTTTAGGATCTGATGTACTCGTTTTAGTTGACAAGATAAGTTGCGAAAGTCTCGAGTCAATATTCTTGACTCGAAAATTGCTTCCACGATCTGTTTTGAAAGCTCAGTAGCAGCATTTGGTGATTGAAGAACATAGTCAATGATTTCTGTGTTTCTTGTTATGTGAGCTTTGTTTCCTCTCTTTCCAAAAGTTCACTTGCCTAACTCTTTGAAAAAGTTACGGAAGTGTTCATAAGATAACATTTTCATAAATTTAATTTTAATGTTATTTTCAAAGATAACATTAATTTATCTTTGAAAATAACATTAATTTAAAACACCTCTATTTAGACTAAACCTAATTCGCTCGGTGGAGCTTGTCCCACATAGTTAACCTAGTGTGGTTTACGTCTCTTGTATAGTTTACAAGCTATCATACGAGAGTGTAGGTTTATCCGGTATATCTAGATGATTGATCGGATGTTGGCTCCTTCATTATTAAGAAAAAGAAAAAAAAAACAACTAAGATAAATTGTATGGTTTATTGAACTTGAATATTGCAGCAAAACTTGCTTGGCATACGTTGAACTATAACTTAGAAGCTTTCCTTGAGTTAAGGTTTATTTACGAAATTCCCCCTCAATTTTTCATAATTACATTCACCCTATGTTATCTGTAGATTTCTAACATTAATATGAATGTAAGAAATTTTTATAAACCGCAAAGGGCTCGATGTAATTTTTAGAAACAAGGGACTTTTTCATATAGAGACTTTTACCTAAGGGTGGTGGTTGTAATCTAACTTTTTCCTTATAATTGGCACCTAAATATGAGGATAATATTGGTAATTAAGGTGGTGTTTGCAAAAGCTTTTTGAAAGTGATTATGAGCTTTTCTTTGTTTATAATTTGGTTTTAGGTATTTGCAAAATCAATTTTCGGTTTTACTTCTCTTCAATTAATCTGATTTAAGTTTTTTTTTAAAGCATCCCTGAACCTGTTTTTTCTATTTAAGTTCATTAACACCCCTCAACTTTTCGGAAAATGAACTAAAATTGAAAAAGCATGGTTAGGGGTGCTTTTAAAAAAATAGCTTAAAACAGATTATTTTAAGAGAAACAAAAGCAAAAGTTGATTTTGCAAACACCTAAAAAGAGATTATGAGCAAAAAAAACCGCATAATCACTTTCAAAAAGCATTTGCAAACACCACCTAAGAATATCTGGCTTATAATTGGCGCTGAAATGGAACGTGGATGATGGCATTGAAGGCAATAGAAAAGTAAGGTACTAATTTGATATAGAGTGTAAATATTCGGGACGAAAATGAAAATTTTCCACTTTTAATTAAAGAATCCTGCAAGTGCAACTAGACAAGCCAAGAAAATTCCACCATCTCCCTCTTTTCGTGACCAAGAAAAGCTTTACGAGGCCAATTTGGTATTATTTCTTACACGGTTTCGGTTACGATGAGTCTACCGATGACTACACGGTTGTCAGCATCTACGCGGGTCCGAACCCCTACTTGACACAGATCTATAGTTCCAGACTAGGGCGGAACCACATGGGCAGAGCCGCAGGGGCGTATCCATGGGTACGCTTGGGGTGCCTCCTAGACATGGCCATGGGGCGGGTCGGGTCCGTGTCCGACTTTAAAGGAACCCGAAACCGCCCCGTGGGGAGGCGAGTCCGGGTCCAACCGGTTTTTTTTTTTTTTTTTTTTTTTTTTTCTTTTCAAATAATTATAAGAAAAAAAAAACTTAAGATTAACTTAAAATTCAATATTAACAAAAAGAAAATTGGATTTAAACACTAAAAATTTTTGGAAAAAAATAAACGATTAATATTAATACCTTGAGATATAAACTAAATGAAAGTCGTGAAGATTGAATTAGGGGTATTTATATGTTGTACGTATTTATATGTGAAAATAATAATTGAGAAAATTTTCAAAAGTTAAAAAAAATCAAAATTCAATCCTTTTTTTAAATTGAATCGTAATTTTTTATATTTTTCAAAATTAAATATATATGCATTTGTTACTAGTGGAGATTTTGAATATTAATAATAGTGTACATGAGTCATGACAATTAATAATTTATTAAACATTAATTATATAATTATTATAATCATTTTACATTTATTTATATATATATTAGAATTAGTTTAGTAAATATTAACCTTTCCTGAGTGATTAGTACTCTACTAAACTGCTTGGGCACCCGGGTTCAAACCCCAATCCCTCCCTTTTTTGTGTTATTACACTCAAAATCCGGGTGGACCCGACCTCGGGTTGGGCCCTTGGGCCCCCTCGCCGAGTAGACCCGTCGGGTCTCGGGTCCAAAATTTCTGGACCCGAAACCGACTCGTGCTTTGTCGTGTCCAGGTCCATGGTTAACGGGCGGGGCAGGGCCGGGTCAGACCCGGCCCGTGGCCGCGGGGCGGGGCCGGGTCAGACCCGGCCCGTGGCCGCGGGGCGGGGCCGGGTCAGACCCGGCCCGTGGCCATGTCTAGTGCCCCCTTAATGGACTTTCGCCCCCAAATTCTCAATTTTATACACTTTAGTCTATAAACAGAAAAAAGAAAAAAACATTCTCTTAATTCACCCCATATTCTAGCCTCCCAAGAAACAACCCCTGGGATCGTCCCGCAGAAAAAAAATTATCACCTATTTATATACTTTGGCTCCACCAAGATTTAAAATTTATACCATAAAAAATATTTTTTTTCATCTTATTCACCCCATATTTTGCCTTCCCCCCCACCCAAACTAAAAGCCCCCGGTTCCGCCCCTGTTTCTTGGAAGAAAATTGAATCTTCGGACAAGCATTTATGTTTTTTTCTTGATTCTTATAGCAAGTTTGTCAGTGAAGGTGGCATTGGATGGCGTTCAAGGAAGACGAAAACAACGAAAATCCAGACATTATTTCTTTTGATTTGGCAGAGGAAAGATATGAAATTGTGGGTGGGCTGGAAAACTTGTTAGATATTGGTGCTCAACCAAATTTGACAGATTTGAGTGGATATCTTAGTTTGATTTCTTGGACATAAACATATGGAATAGATACTGCATTTAAAATAAATATTTGGGTTATGATGAAGTATGGTGAACCTCAATCTTGGGCTAAGATTTGGAAACTCGAGGATTATGTACTCGGTGGTCGGGTTCCTAATGCAATGTCGTTATGGTTGTTGAGGAATGGAGAAATGGCGGTGGCTTTAGGATCAGATGTAGTCGTTTATAATACTGAAAATATTAATATTAAAAGATACATTTCACTAAAAACTTAAGCTTTTGATTGAAATAGTCATTCAATATGGTATCAAAGCCAAACCAAATGAAGGTCCTGAGTAGCATAATTTGAAGTTCGACATTATTGCATAAGATTCTGATGACATTTCTAATAATTTGCTTAACGGTACAAACTAATTTTTTTGTGGTTAAAATTCAAACTAAATTTGAGTTGTATAATACTGAAACTTGAGAGACAAATATATAAAAACTTGGAAAATACATTGTTACATTTTTTGGAGTTACTATTTGAGAGATATTATGCTTACGTGAAATAATAATTATATATATATATATATATATATATATATATATATATATATATATATATATATATATATATATATATATATATATATATATATATTTCCCCTGTTTTTTCTTTAAATTTCTTTTTGTTGGGCCCCCGCGGGGATAGCACAAACTCCACATTGATATGATATTGTCCAGACTGGGCCGGGCCCAACTGATTTTGTTCTTGGGTTTCCCCAAAAGGCCTCATACCAATGGAGTTACTATCCCCTCCTTATAAAGGATAGATCTTTCCCATATTTAACCGATGTGGGACATTGTTTGCACCTCAACACTTTTTGGATCTGAGGAAAAGAAAGATTGGTTTTTTCTTTTTTTTTTTTTTTTTTTTTTTTCTTTTCGATTTAATTTTTTTTTTTTTTTTTTTTTGAATAAATTCAAGTCCATTACAAGGGGAAATAGGGGAGGGGGGGACTCGAACCCTAGACCATTACCCTATTGGTAAAGGCAAGGTACCAACTCTCCTAATGAGGGTTGGTTTTTCGATTTAATTTTTACTGTGAAGAATGAAGATGATAGTGGTGTTGGTAGAGATGGCAACGAGATTCAATTGGTTGAAGACGATGATGATTCAACTTATCTTCTTCTTTTCTTCTGATATTTTTTTGTATTTTTTAAAATTTTATAAACTAATTAAATTGAAATATTATAAAATTTTAATAATCAAATTTGTAGGCACCAGGATAGGATAAAAATGATTAATCCCGAATTTGGATTTTAGTGATTTTGTGAAGACTTGAAAAAATAATATTTTTGAGTAGAGAAAGTAAAATACAAGTGTTTTGTGGATGGAAAAATTACTTCTCTTTTTTTGTTTTTTTTTTGTCTTTTTGTCTTGCTTACAATGATCTCTAGCACTTCATATTTATAGTGAGGAGTACATTAATCTACTAATAAATTACAAAATAACTCATACACTAACAACTCTTTTAATTCTAATTTAATATTAGGAAAATCAAAAGACAATTGTCTATACATCTAGACAATATTGCTTCAAATTCACATTTATTCAATCATCCACTTCTTCCAACATGAATGCCCACTTCTTCTAACATGAATGCCCACTTCTTCCAATATTGAATTGCCACTAATTTCAATATTGAATTCACATTAATTCAATTTATTCC